TTTCAGCATTCTGATACACGTTTCTTTACCAAAATTTCACGTAAAACACGATGCGCACAACGAATATTACCGAAATCAACTCCTTCCGAAGATATTAATGATTCTTGGTGCGTGAATTCAAAGCACGTGCTCATGAAAACTCAATGCTCTACGTGATTCACATCGCTCGTAAACGTTATCATGAACGTCTCTGCGATGAAAAAATCTGGCAACCTCAATCTTGACACTTTGGCTCAGCTATAGCAAATTACTTATAGTTTGAAAAACACATGGTGGGAAATGAATACTGCTCGATTGAGAAGATTGCTGAGACCGTTGTAGTGCGTGATTTGACTTACGTAGAGCTTTGAGTTTCCTGTGAGCGGGCAGTTCAAATTCCTCGTAACCAATGTGAAATAAAAATGTTAATATAGCTTCGTTAGGAGTTGGTTTCAGTAATTTTCGTTGAGCGAATCGTGTTCTACGTGAAATTTTGGTTAAGATACATGTATCAGAATGCTTAAATTCGTACCTTGTCTAGTGGTCCATTCCGAGAATTTAAAGACTTACTAGTCAAAATTTCGTTTATTAGACATTTAATGTTTTTGGGTTAAAATGTAATTTTTCTAAACTTTTGGAATTTAAAAACTGTTATTTTTTCAGTACAACTGTTATTTTTCATGATCTCCTACCAGCGATTAGTAATGTTTAAAACAATACCAATTTGTTTCAACACCATTTTTTCCCAACGTCGCAAGTGAGATTTTTCCCTGGGACAAATCCCATGTAACATTCCGTGGAGACAAGGCCATAGGAACACTGTACAGAAGAGAAACTATTTGATTAAAGGATAGGCAGTACTTAAAACGCTACTTCTTACCTAAATTCATCTTGGTGTAATGCCATGGGTATAGTGATGCATAAAGATAAAATTAAAGCTATTACATAGCCTGCAATTTGACTGAGGAGCAACATGTTACTCGGCATAGTCATAGTCAGGACGCAAACTGATCTAATCGTCAATTTAAGTAATGCAAGCTTGAATAACTTCAAAGAATGAATGACATACTTTGGGTTGAACACTGAACGGTGAAATTACTGTCATGCATGGTGCGTCAGAAATTTAACGTAAATGGTCTTTCAGCAAGGTCTTTCAGTCCTTTCAGTACTTCCTGTCCTTCCCAGCGATCAACGTCGACCCAAGGCGGATAAAGAATGGTGGTCGCATTTCGATTTTGGCTGCCATCTTGAAGCGTTGTGACGTCAGGAGGGTACGGGTTATGCCGTGCAATCCGAGGTTGAGTCGGCCCCCCCGGCCTCGGCCAGCTCATGTACCCGATGTACCCGATACCGTGTGACGTCCAGAGGGTACGAAATGCGACCACCATTCTTTATCCGCCTTGGGTAGAGCTGGTGTGCACGATGACAAATCCACGAGGGTCAAGGTAGATCATTGACGTATAATACAATCTAGACCGCGCATTGGGCCCGACTTTGGGCGGGGAAGGTAAGACAGCTAGGGGGGTAAAGACGCGCCTTCAGCTTAGTTGATACCGCCGGATATACGAGCTAAGTGTACCCGTATCAGGCAACGGCACTGGCAAGACTGGCATTTCCACGAATTCCACCATTGTCTCGCCGGTACACTTGCTGTGTGTTGCTGGGTTGCCTATCGTCTCGCTTGAATTTCGTAATGCGCGGTCTAGATTGTATTATACGTCAATGAGGTAGATTTACACAGGTATGGAAAAGTTGAAAATTTCCCATGAGCCTCAGTACGTGTCACATGACCTCGTGACGTAGGTTAAGGGGCCCGTTTTTTAATTAAATTACAATCAAATTAACATTCAAACGTTTGTGCGTTTAAACTCTAAAATTAATATTGCATAACAAAAATTATGCAAAAAATCCCACAAAATTTTGACAAACGGTAAACCGAACATAATAAATCAAAATAATCAAAACATCCAAAATGGCTGACGTTAAGGGGCCGCTGGAGAGCCAATCAGAGGCCAGTTGTTTAGTTCTGTCCATACCTGTGTAAATCTACCTTGCACGAGGGTAGTGGATCAGCCCAAAAAAGTTATTTCTGAACCTATGATCAATAATTCACCTACCCAAAATAATCATAATATGTTCGGTTGGAATTTCTTTCATGGTTGGAAATAACAAAATACAATCAACACATAACCTTCAATATTCACGTGCACTTCCAGAATTTTAAAAAACCAAACAAGTTAAGTCACTGTTGTCAGGGTTGTATAAATATGTTCACTAACCCATTTGAACTCTTATGAAAAATTTGTATTGGGCCTCTAGCTCGGCAACAATGCTAGGCCCTGCCGATTTAATCGTGTAACTGCTGTTTAAAGTTAGAGTCCCTTTATACTAATTTGAATCCATTTCTGATTAGGCCTCCATAGAGTCCCTTTATACTGAGAGTCAAGACAATTTGAATCCATTTCTGATTGGTTCCCGTATTTTAGGCCTCCACAGTGTCACAAACGGGAATAAAGATTACATTTTCACCAATTGCAAAGATTATAATCTGGAATGGACCA